CGGACGAGCTAATATTTCTAGATCAACTGTTTTCTTGGAAGATCAGATGATTCAACTCTCTTTAGGTATTTTCATCAAGAAAATGTCAGGTGGTTTAAGTGCGACAGATAAAAACGATTTATTTATATATTATTTACTAACTTATTTTCTGTCTTCCTCTAGATTTCTTCCTTCCTTAGACTCTAAACTCCATGAGGTAGGGACTTTGTTTTGCTTACTTAGTGCTTACGATGAACGAATGTCATCCATGCCCTAGCTGCAATTACGACCTATAATAAATGACTCACAAATTTTCATATTGTTAGCTCAGACCTTCACCTGAAATCTATTTGACAATTCTTTTTGGCTGTTTAAAAGGCACCTTACACTCAACCTGCACAAAACTGAGCTCTTCTTCTCCCAACCTGTGCGTCCTTTCATGTTCCCTTTATTAATTGTCAACAACATCATTCAACAGACACCAACTACGTGCCGGGCTCCGGAAAGAGCCGTGAATGGGCACAGACTCAGCTCTCGTGGAATAGACATTCTAGTGAGCCTTTGTTCCTCTGGGCAAGCCAGCCATCATGTTAACCTTGATACTCCTCTTCCTCATCTTACGCTCCCCCCCCCACAGACAACCCAGCACCAAGTCAAGGGGATGTTTACTTCCTAAATACTGTATAATTCATTCCTCTCTCTCTATCACTACATGCCAGGCTGGACTGGGATCATCTCTTGCCTGAACAATGACAACCCCTAACTGGACCAGAAGTCACTCTACCCTTCCAATCCATCCTCCACCCTGCAGATTCGATCAACTCCTTTTTGTTACACACCCCCAAGCTGGCTGCAAACTCTTCAGTGGCTTTCCATGGCTCCCTCTCTCTCAGCTCCAGCTCCAACAGCCTTCCCCCACCCCATTCACTTACGATGCCCCTCCTGCCACAGGCCCTTTGCACTTTCTGACGCCTCTGACGAGAGGCTCTGCCCCCCCAGGCTGTAAGCTCCAGGAGAACAGGGCTCTATCTGTTGCACTCATCATCATATCTCAGGGTCCAGCACAGAGCCCAATGCCTGGCATTCGTCAAGTGAAGAAATGAGTGAAGAGGTATAAAGAGTATCCAGTGAAAACACATAAAGCTCCAAGTGTAGTTACTCCACACTATGGACTTTGCCTACTGTCCGTACTTTACAGATACAATCTTGTTTAAACCCACAACAACCATTATGAGAGCAATCTCTTCCTGTTTACAGATGAGGGGACTATACTTGAAGACAGTAAGTAGTCAACGGCCACATAGCTAGTAAGTGGTGGGTGAGATTCAGAGCCAGGTCTGTTAGGTTCCGATGGAAAATTGTTGGGCACAGGAGGAGTACGGGGGTGGCCCTTTAAGACTATGGGGGAAATAGGAGAATAGAATCGCCCTTCCTGGAAGAGTATAGATGGGCTGGAACCTGCACCCTGAGTAGGATATGGACCCCAAAGTCATTGTCACAGGGAGACCCATAGCTTGCTTTGGCTGGAGCAGGGCAGGGCATGACAGAACTGATGGTCCCTTGGGCAGCTCTGCTTACCCCCTGACAAGTCTCAGACTCTTCCACCGGGAAGCTTGGAGGATGATGGAGGACATGGTTGTCAGGGAGGTCGGGAGCTCCACTGGGTGGGTGAAAATGGAGATTGGAAGGTGAACAGCCCACTGGCCTTGAGACTGTTTGCTTCAGGCCCAGATTTCTGCCCTTCAGCACCAACTTCTGAGGCCACTGGAGGAAGCACCAGGGTCAAATGGCCTGAATCCGTTGAGGAAATTCCCCTCGGCCCAATGAGAACAAGAAACCAGAAGCCGCCTGGCATCTGCAGGGACCATCAAAGGAATGCTGAAGCATCACCCTTGTAGGAGGAGACACCCAGGGCTCAAGGCAGGCTGCCAGGATCCCAAATAGAACTCCTCTGTGAGTTTCATTCAGGGGTGGAAGTCGAGGGACATGCAGGAGCCGGTGTGTTATGGCTGACCAACTGTTGAAACAGCCAAGCAGTGGGTTCAAGCACTCTTGAGACTTCTGAAGAATCTGGCAAAATAAATATGTGTACATATTCACAGCAACCGGAGTCATTAGACTGGCTTGGGCTGCTCCCTTTATCTCACTCCTGGGGGCCAGGATGAAAGCCTAGCCATGGGTGGATAAGCCCTGAGAGTAAGGTCAGAGAAGCAAAGAACTCCTAGGTCCCTCATCAAGTGAGTTGAGGCTTAGGGATTTGGGAAGGAACAAAGTAGACCTGGGAGCTACTGATTTCTTTCTGGGGGTCTGAGTGCAGAAGTTCCTGGGGCGGGCCTGGCTGGCAAGTCTGCAGCCAGTGGGTGGAGGGGACACAGCTGGAGAGGAAGACTTCGCCTTCAGCTACCTGTTTCTACCCGTGAAGGGGAATGAATGAGGTGGGTACAGTCTGACCACGACACAAACCCACCGGAAGGAGCAAGAAGTATGTTCTAGCCATAGGAATTATGCCTCCAGATGCTGAGTCCCTCCTGTTGACTTCTATCACTGTATTTTATTTTGGCAGATGGGGGATGGAAATTTTCTGGACTTGGATTTCTGCACATTGATTTAATATCCCGGACTTGGAATTATTATATAAAGTGTGTGTGTGTGTGTGTGTGTGTGTGTGTGTGTGTGTGTGTGTGTGTAGACTAAAATTTTCAGGCTGCGACCCCCAGACCAGGGAGCCGATAGAGCAGTTCTGCAACACTCTGGACGATGCTGAAATCCAACAAGAGCCTCTCCCCAAACTGGAATGGCAAGCTCTCTGCATAGAGGGAAGTTCCCCAGTCTGTCCCCATTCTCCACCCTGCAAACACGTCACGGGACAGCTGGACAAGCTCCAGCAGGCTCCAAACTCCACTACCCTGTGTACCGAGGTGAGGGCCAGGTCGATCAAGATGAAGGAATGTGTACAGGGAATCAGAACATCTGCCCCGGGAGCAGAGAGGAAGGGTTGGGATGCAGCAGGAGGAGCAGGGCTTAAATGCAAGAGCCTATGAGTCAGTGAGACCTGCCTTCAAACCCGGGCTTTTCCCCCACCACTTACCAGCCACTGGGCCTTGGTCAACATTACCAAATCTCTGCATTTCTCCATCTGTAAAATGGGATGGTAATATAATACCCACTTCAAAAGGCTGCTGTAAGGATTAACTTTTAAAAATACACTTAAATGCACACCTTTAGGCAAAAACAAAACAAAACAAATAAAAACAAACAAAAACAAAAGAACCAACCCAAACTTTACACATTATCCAAAAATTAATACAAAATGAATTGTGGACTTACTTACATATGAAATGTAACAGTATAACATCTTCAGAAAAAAAAAATAGATGAAAATCTTCTGGACCTAGGGCTAGGCAGAAAGTTCTTAGGCTGAACACCAAAAGCACCATCCATGAAGGAAATGTGGATAAATTGGATTTTTTTTTTAAGATTTTATTTATTTATTTGACAGAGAGAAAGACAGCGAGAGAGGGAACACAAGCAGGGAGAGTGGGAGAGGGAGAAGCAGGCTTCCCTCCCGCCTAGCAGGGAACCCAATGCGGGGCTCGATTCCAGGACCCTGGGATCATGACCTGAGCCGAAGGCAGACGCTTAACTGACTGAGCCACCCAGGCGCCCCAGTTGGAGTTTTTTCAACATTAAAAACTTTCCCTATGAAAGATGCCGTGAAGAGGATGAAAAGTCGGGGTATGAATGGAGAGAATATTTACAAACCAGACATGACCAGTAGTCATTTTCTAGAATACGTAAAGAACTCTCCAAGCTCAACAGTAATAAAATAACAAGCTATAGAATTAAAAAATGGAAGAAAGACATGAACAAACATTTCACTGAAGAGGATACAAAGGTGGCAAATAAGTGCATGAAAATATGTGAGCATTAAGGAAATGCCAATTGAAACCACAATGAGATATCACTGCACACCTATGAGATTGGCTAAAAAAAAATTTTTAAGTGACACCACCAAAAAAAAAAAAAAAAAGGGGATGCCATCAAATGCTGGTGAGGATGCAGAGAAACTGGATCATTCATATTTTGGAGATGGGAATGTAAAATGGTATAGCTACTTTAGAAAACATTTTGGCATTTTCTTATAAAACTAAACATACAATTAGCCTACAACCTAGCAATTGCACTCTTGGGCATCTATCCCAGAGAAATGAAAACGTGTTCACACAAAAACCTTAACATGAGTATTCATAGCAACTTCATTTGCATAGCTAGAACCTGGAAACAGCCTGGATGTCCTTCTGCAGGTGAATGGTAAGCTGCGGTATATGTATTGCTCAAGTGGAGGGGGGAGGCTGGAAGGGGCGCTGGACCACTCTACGTCAATTACAGGAAGAATCACCAACTACAGACCCCAACAGAAGGAGCATCAACAGGAAAGAATCATCCATTACAGGCCCCACCAGGGAAAAGATGGACACTGCATCTCCTAAAAGAAATCGACCATCCCTGCAACTTAGCGGATGAGAGATCTTCATCACCCTGTCTTGCTTTTCTGCAGCGGATTTTCATTCAAAACAACCCCTCCCAACTTCTTCATAAAATAATGTTTCTCTCCTTTGTTTTTTGGACTTGCCTGTAGTTTGGCCATAGTTTGCATGTCTTGAGTTGTGATTCTCTGCTATTCTCAAATAAACCCATTTTTTGCTGTTTGTAAAATAACTGACTTTTCTGTTTAAGGCGAACAATGAACTATGGAACACTACTCAGCAATCAAAAGCATGCAATTATCGATGCACATAACAACTTGGATGAAGCTCCAAGAAATTCTATGGAGTGAACAAAGCCAGTCTCCAAAGGTCACATATTGTATGAGTCCACTTATACTGCATTCTTTTTTTTTAATTAAGATTTTATTTATTTATTTGACAGAGAGAGAGAGAGAGAGAGAGAGAGAGAGAGAGCACACAGCAGCGGGATTGGCAGGCAGAGGGACAAGCAGAGTCCCCACTGAGCAGGGAGTCTGATGTCGGGCTCCATCCCAGGACCCTGAAATCATGACCTGAGCCTAAGGCAGCCACTTACCGACTGAGCCCCCCAGGCGCCCCACTTATATTGCATTCTTAGCAGGACAAGTTTATAGAGCTCAAGAACGAATTAGCCATTGTCAGGGGTGGAGGGGGTTGGTTATAGCTGCCCCGGGCAGGTGTGACGAGGGAATGTGATGTGACGAGGAATCCGGTGATGAACCTGTACCATAGCTTGCCAGTGGTGGTGGTCACATGAATTTATTTACACATGTGATGTAGCTGCCTAGAACGAAACACACACACACGCTAGTGTGAGCACGTAAAACTGAGGAAATGGGAGTCCAGTTGGCAGATGGTATCACTGTCCATTTCCCAGTTGTGATGTTATGCTGTAGTTACATAACGTGTTACCACTGGGGAAACGGCGTGAAGGGTACAGGGCATCTTGACGTTATGTGTTACACTATTGTCTGCTTATCTATAATTGTTTCAAAATAAAACGTTTTTTTTTAAAATACGTGTAAAGCTCTCTTACTCCTTCTCTAATTTCCTTCTCCTCTTCCTCCTAATTTTCCTGCTCCTTCTTCCCCAACCCCCCCTTCCCCTCTGTTTCTTCTCCTCCCCCACCCTCCCTCCTTCTCCTTGCTCTTAGTCCCAGGCAGTGTTGCATTCTCAGAAGCAAAATCTTCCCGTAACAGGAGAAAGGGAGTAATCCAACATTTACCACTGAAAGCCTAGACAATACCTGCCCCTCCGACAAGTGGTCATGTAGAAACCCTAACTAAGGAGGGAGAGAAAAGGCCCTTTAAATGTCTGTGGTTTTTTTATGTGTTTTAAATGTCTGTGGCAGGAGAGGATCACGGGAGGAGGCAGACCAGTTCTCTCGAAGACTTGTGGACCAAGAAGAAGATGCTGAAAAGGGAGATGTGAAGAACTGACGCGCTATTCCCTTTAACAAAGCCTAGAGGGGAAAATACATCCCCAGATGTCAAGCTTGGGAATGGTCAGGGCTGTGTTGTTTATCTGAGGATAGCCAGCCTCCTCCTCTCTCTCGGTCCTCCCAGGGTGGGCCTGAGCCAGGAGCCTGGGGGCAGGGAGGGCCCAAAGCACTGAGTCAGCTTTCTTAGTGCACACACCAGGAAACCAGACGCTCATTAGCTGTGTAGGAAAACAAGAGGCTGTCTAAGACGGGGCTGAGTTCATGCTCCTTGCTGTTTCTTTCTTTCTTTCTTCTATTTTCCTTACTGTTTAGTAAAGTTCTTCCTTTCTTTTATTTATTTTTTTTTTAGGAGTGGAGAACTGTCACACTGCTTTGGGCACACTGAGAGGAACCAAGAAAAGGGTTTGTTTGTTCCCCATCTGCTTTAGGTGGTTTGTGAAGAATACAATTTTTTTTTAATTGTTTGGTTTTTTTGTTTTTAAATGTTTTATTTAAAATCAATTTAAGTAACATATAGTGCATTGTTAGTTTCAGGGGTAGAGTTAAGTGATTCATCTGTTGCATATAACACCCAGTGCTCATTACATCACGTGCCCTCCTTCATGCTCATCACCCACTGACCCCAGCCCCCCACTCCTTTCCCCATCAGGAACCCTCAGTTTGTTCCCTAGAGTTAAGAGTCTCTCATGGTTTGTCTCCCTCTCTGGTTTTGTCTTATTTTATTTTTCCTTCCCTTCCCCTGTGTTCCTCTGTTTTGTTTCTGAAATTCCACGTATGAGTGAAATCATATGATAATTGCCTTTCTCTGACTAATTCCACTTAACATAATACCCTCTAGTTCCAACCATGTCATTGCAAATGGCAAGATTTCATTCTTTTTGATGGCTGAGTAATATTCCACCTTATGTATGTGCATATATATAATACTATATCTATATACACTACATCTTCTTTATCCATTCATCTGTCGATGGACATCTAGGCTCTTTCTATAGTTTGGCTATTGTTGATAGTGCTTCTATAAACATGGGGGTGTGTGTGTCCCTTCTGATCACTGTGTTTGTATCCTTTGGATAAATACCTATTAGCGCAATTGCTGGGTCATAAGCTAGCTCTATTTTTAACTTTTTGAGGAAACTCCATACTGTTTTCCAGAGCGGCTGCACCAGTTTGCATTCCCACCAACACTGTAAGAGGAAGAACACAATTTTTAAAAGTAAAAATAAGCCCACCCCAATTCAAATAGACTAGCAGAACATGAGCTCCTGGACAGGAATCATGGTGTATTTTGTTCACTTGTCTCCTTAGCACTGGGCATGTAGTCAGGACCTGGGGGGGATGGATGGATGGATGGATGG